CAATATTAGACAATCGATATCAATGTTAAGTAGCACGTTATTCTGTTATATAAAAGATTGAAAGTAACTTGCGTGACAAATCATATTACATGATCAAGGATACGATATCTCTCACAATTACTGGAAATATTATTCATTTCATGGGAATTGCATATAATTTATGGAATCTGGAAAACTTTATCACCTAAAGTATTCATCTTGTGCAATTGCGTAAGCATATGTTTTTTTAAAACCTTATTCAATACGTAGTGCTTCATTTTACATTTCTTACAAATTGACAATGACTTAAGGTGCGACTTTTGTAACATGAACTCATAAAAACAAGACAAAAGCTAATAATATTTGAATGTAGTCAGTGTGTGTTCATGTAATATAATTATTATATATAATTATATATTTGAGTGTGTAATCATCTTTTTTAAACGTTTAATAAACTAGGGAAAATAAAATTTGAATTTTTACAAATATCAAATGAAGCCTTTAAAATGGAAAAATCGCCAAAGAATAATAAAGACCAAATAATAATGAAGAAATATATTCCGTATTTAATTGAAAGTTGAAAGTGCAATTCTTAGCTCACCCAAACGTGAAAAGCGTTGCAAAGCTTATATTTTTGGTCATTTTGAACAATGAAATGATTGTTATGAAAAGAAAGGAGTGAGTGAATGCTGTGAAAATTTGTACACATGTTATTTGTTCAGACGTTTATTAAATGGTTCACAAATATGGAGAAGTATTTTCAGTTCCGTCATGACAAATATCTCTGTGGAATCCATTTTAGTCCTAATATATTTCCAGTCTGTGCGAAGAATCTTATAACTTTTTTACAATATTGTTGCAATGTTCATATTGTTACATTATACAATATACGTTTAAAATTTATCCTTTGATAATTGGTACGTATTACTTTATATCCAATTGTCATAATGACAGCAAAGTCAAACAAAAACAATAAATAAAACAAACAAAGCCAACAAACATTAAAAATAGTTCTGCTAAAAGGAATTCGTAGGAAAAGAAATTTATCTTCGCAAAAGGTTTCTTGGCAAAAGTATCAGAAATTTAATCACATAATTGCTCGGTGCAACCAATAAACATATTCTATAGCAATACATTAACCTATTGAGTTACGGTGCTTTGCATCTGTTTATTCAGTTGTGAAAGGACAATGGCAATTTTATGCATATGCAATGTGATTATTCTGTCTGCTTCAGACATAAGCTGAAATTGAGCAAATAAAATTTATTTTCCATCATTATATTACTTAATATGATATTTTCAGTCCTAATACTTCTTAAAGTTGATTTGGCAAATGACCTGCGTAGTCAAGTTTTTTTTGTGTGAAGTTCTTAATATATCCGGGGAAAAGTGTGGAAAATGTCACCTTAGGGGCTTCGTATACATGTACATTTTCTTCTTTATGTGAGTTGATGTAAACAAGCCAAAATGGGTATGGAGCTTCGCTGCAAATTTGGAGCATTAGAGATGTACTTAAAACATAAGATCATTCATCCGTCACTTCTGACCTGAAAATGTAATTAATTGAGTGACAAATTTCACATCATTTACAATTGCGGTGTATACAAATAGTTATTTTTAAAGATCTGTTATTTCAGTTATTTTGATAAGAGATATCTTCAGTATATACTATGACATATACTTTTAATTGTAACAGTGTATCTTCTTTGTAAAAGTGTATTCAAAAGAATATATAAGAAAATTAGAATTGATAAGCGTTAAAAAGTAGACCTGAAAACTTACTTGACATATATTAACAAAAAACAAGGACAGTAAACATTTGTCTTTTGTTCCTTCTTAAAAGTATTTTCGGCTGATTGTCCCTTTTCCATATCTTATACTCTAACAATAGGTGTTAAGTGCTGTGTGGAAATTGTAAAATAAAATCACTTACTTCATCTCAATAGTGTTGTATTATTTATATCGTTCATTGATTTTAGTTGATTTAGTCAGTGCTATGGGCATGAAAGATGTTGCACTTTTCAGTACAGCTCAAGAACTCAATCAATCCGTGTCTGCAGTTTTCATCTTTCCCTTACATAGATCAATGTGTTTTTAAGAAACAATGGAGCTTTGTGATTTCTTTCGCTTGCATTCAACGTCAAAACAACATATTTGTAATTGATGTCATTTATTTAAAATGTTGACATTTTACATTAACGTTTTGTTACAGACTGTATGATTTACTTAACCAGTTACCAAAATAAAGTTAACAGAAATGACGAAAGTTGATGTTCACGAGAAACGAAATATAAGAAAGCGTGTCTCTTTCAACTTTTAAAATGAGACACTAAATGATAAAAAACCGATAAGGACAACGCGTATACACATGTATCATTTGCAAATGTCACGAAATGAAAAGTAGGAAGTTGTACAGGCAATTTCAGACCGAAAAGAACAACACTAGTTCATAGCGGCATTATGAACTCAGTTGTGGATTTACTGGAAAGATATCGACTGACTAAATTATCTTATGGATAAGGAATCACACAGAATATTGACATACAGTTTTGGAATGCAAATGGATCAGGTACGCTAGGTGTCCGAGCTATTGATCAAGGCGTAATGAATGATATTAAAGCCTTTACGAGTGCTATGATCAGTTAGTATGTCAAGTGAGAATTTCATAGAATCACGATGGCGTTGAAATGGCCTCGTGACAATACATAACAAAACAACGCATAGTGTCAGATGTCAATTATTTGCAATCCCATATTTTAAAATGTATGGAATTATGCATGATAAGTAGACATATATTCTTTACATATATATAGATTTTAAAACACTATGCCTGTTTGTTCTTATTTTATAGAAATATTATACCAACTTTTGGTACAAACCTCGTACTTCACGTGCTATCAATAATGTATGTATTGTTAGAATAATTCAAATTCTTTAGCTAGTAGACAACAGATTCCATAATTGTTTTATGGATTGTCTTTTCAATTTGATAGAACTTTACCTGGTGGCCCCTTCCCAGCACATCATGATTTCGTTTACTTAGAATACTTACCTTTTAAAAAAAATATTCACTTCAAACTTGAAATTTTTGTTGTCTATTAAGGACAAGTAAATTCTCTTAAGGACATTTGCAGAATTATGCCACCTTTTCTATGTTGATTCTATTGAACTATCCAGCACTGGGAAAAATGGAGCGCCGCGGACAGAACTTTTTTTTCTTTTTTAAACAAATGTTTTGATTAAATGATGATGATATTGTTGTTGTTTTTGTAAAGCCAGCGAGTTTTTTCCGTTGTGTGTTGTTGTTTTTGTTGTTTTGAGATGCAACAAAACAATCGCTATTCCATAATTGTTGTTGGGATGTGTTAGAATACACTCATTTGTTGTCCAGATTCAAATAACATTTTGTTATAATTATTCAAAATGAAGTAACATATTAGTATTTTCTAATATTTTTAAAAATGCCAATGCATATGTATGATCATAGTAAATAGCTTTACTTAAAGCATTATACTAACTAGTGTGATCCTCGTATACATTCGTATGGAACATTGATACATCCTTGGATAACATTTGTCGTTGTACCAAGATAGTGAAAATAAATGCCGACAGGTAATATGGTACCACATATATATAAAGGTTTCAATCATTTTGTTTCATCTGCGAAATCAACGTGCGTTGAATAGTTTTCATTTTATCGCTTAATTGAAATATCCTCGTGAGTCCTTGAGTAATTAAAACACAGCTAAAATTACCAAATTGTATATCTTTATAAATGTTATAAAACGTATGGACAACATACATTCTTAATGGAGTGACAGGCAGATTGTTGAGTTGATTAAAATGTTTAGGTTATCTCAGTTTTATTTATTTTTCGTATAAATACCATTTAAATATTGGTTTGATAGAGAACAAAATCATATAATAACAAACAGTTATTTGTTGTGCAAGGCATTACAAAATCCAACTATCATAAACTAAGACTGTATAATATCTTGAGGCCACAAGACAATACACAAGACAATAAATTGTGGCCAAAAGACATGATATTGAGGTCACAGGATAATACAGTATGGCCTGTGGTCACAAGGTCAACAGTAACAAATGTAATCTCTATTCAACCGGCCATCGTAGTTTAAGCTTTTTCAGCAAATACAAATATGTCAGTTATGTTATATTTTCTTTTTCCTTGAACAAAATTAAACTAAACAAATCTTCAACTATCCCTTTTAATGTTCATTGGAAGTTATTTGACGGACAGTTTTATAGTCGGAAATTTTATTCTATTCTGTCTATTAAACGCAGTTCACAAATCATACATATTAATGAAATAATGTAAGATCGTCGTTACTCCAGTGTTCACCACTTAGGATGATAACATCATCATGCTGGGGAGTATGTACTTCTCGTTCTGGAATGACTTCCATTGTTCTCCTCTCTTCTTCTCTTATTCTTTCTCCTTCATCTCTCTGTATTGTCTCCACTTCATCCTGCCCGACCAAGTCTACTGTACAGGGTCATCACCCTATCCATCTTTGACTTTAGAGTTGACATTATGCAATTCAGCCTTTGTAAAGAGTTCTGTTTATGTACTTCCGGAACGCAATAACATCTATGACGCAATAAACACAAAATGACGCCATATCGATCGTTGCTACTAGTTTCACGCGTTTGACGCTATTGGTTTTCCCGCGCTACAATTTGACTTATTACTTTCCTTGAATCTATAAAATTAAATTAATATATTCTACTTTCAAAAAAAAATGACGTCAATTGAAAAAGTTTGGAATTTAAAATAGCCATAACTTTTTTATTTTTAGAGATAGAGTATTTTTCTTTGCATTTTTCGAAGTCCATAACACATCTATCAATTGAAAAGTGTTATTACTTTTTTGATATGAGGTCTGGTTAAAATGTTGACTCTCCGTCCTCTTAACCCGGCACATATCAAGAGCGGTATTTTTAAATTTGAATTTAATGACGTCATCTAATTAAATGACGTCATTAAATTCAAATTCAAGATGGCGCGAAAAAGAAAATGTTCATTTATATCAGGTAAGTGTTTTTATTAGTTTTATGATATTTCCCCCCTGATATTACAAATATATAATGTATAATTCAACTTAAGCTTGACGTTTGAAAATGTTGATAAATTGAAGTTTAATGTTAAAAGTTATGTTAATAAATGTTGAAATCACAGAAGTGCTGTAACTAATTTATTTGTACAGATATTCTAAAACTTCTGGCATTTTTCGAAGTCCATAACACCTCTACCTATTGAAAAGTGGTCTTACTTTTTTGATATGATATCTGGTTCAAAAACAAGATTGCATTTGAGAAAAATGCTATGCCACCGCATTGATCAAACACTAAATAGAAGTGTAGGAACAGATTGTTTTTGTTTCTATACAATTTTGAAGATTGTCATAATGCATAAATCCCTGACCTATCTTATTCTTATTATCAGATTAGTGGTTAAATCTGTTGTTAACTCAATAAAAGATCAAAGTAGAAATATTAATGCACTTGAGTCTAGTGAATTTGGTGGTGAAGATCATATTTCGCACAGCCAAAATTTCATGACTTCATCAAAGGACAACACAGTAAGACACTTTGTCAAAATCTAGGTCAGCTGATATCAAAGTTCACTTTACATCTTAATCTGTGCACATGGTTCAAATTTCATAGCTGTACATCAAAGGACAAAATGTAGGTCACATCGTCAAAATCTAGGTCACCTGATATCAAAGTTCAATTTTACAACTAAAACTGTGCACATGATCAAAATTTCATTGCTGTACATCAGAGGACAAGAAAGTAGGTCACTGTCCCATTGGGCAAGGCAAAATTTTGGACTCAAGGGTTTAATTCAAAACAATCTTGATACAGGTCCACCAAACAACATTTCAAGTCAAATATCTAAGCTGTAGCTTTCTCCCATTCAGAAAACATTTGTTTTATTTTCTGTTTTTACTATGTGTACATAATGAAAATCACTGCCCCCGGGCTGGGCCAATTTTGACACCAGGGGAAAAATTTAAACAACTTTGGTAGAGGACCTATAGATGATATTATATAGCAAACATCAAAGCTCTAAGCCTTGTACCTTCAGACAAAAATATTTTTTATTTTTTTACTATATGTTCATAATGAAAATCAATGACCCCCGGGGCGGAACTAATTTCGACCCCAGGGCTACAATTTGAACAATCTTGGTAAAGGTTCACTTCGCAAAGTCTCATGCCATATATTTAACCTCTAGCCTTTGTCAATTCAGAGAAGAGGATTTTTTAATTCAGAGAAGAAGATTTTTCAAGTTTTAATTTTATTCTTTTCAGGAAAACTATCGCCTCTGGGACAGGGCAATTTTAACAAGGGGCATAATTAAAACAACTTTAGTAAAGGACCCATAGATGATATTATATACCGAATATCAAAGCTCTAAGCCTTGTACAAGAAGATTTTTTAATTTTTTACTATATGTACATAGTGAAAATCAATGACCCCTGGGGGTGGGGCCAATTTTGACCCCAGGGCTATAATTTGTACAATCTTGCCAGAGGTTCACTACATAATGTTTCATGCAAAATATCTTAACTCTAACCTTTGTAAATTTAGAGAAGATGATTTTTTAAGTTTTTACTATCTACATATAAGGAAAACCTATGGCCCCTTGGGCGGGGCTTATTTTGACACTAGAGGTGAAATTTGAACAACTTTGGTAGAGTACCTATAGATGATATCATTTAACAAATATTAAAGCTCTTTTTTACTATATGTATATATTGAAAATCAATGACCCCCAGGGCGGGGGCAATTTTGACCCCAGGGCTATAATTTGAACAATCTTGTTAGAAGTTCACTTCACAATGTTTTATGCAAAATATCTAACCTCTAGCATTTGTCAATTGCTAAAAGAAATTGTTTTAAAGTTTTTACTATAAGTTTTTACTACATACATACATAATTATGTATAAGGAAAACCAATGACCCCCGTTCAGCGGGGCCGATTTTAATCCCAGGGCTATAATTTGAACAATCTGGGTAGAGGTCTACCAGACAATGCCTTATGCAAAATATCTAAGCTCTAGGCCTTTTGGGTCTTTACAAGAAGGTATTTTAAGTTTTTACTATATGTACATATAGTGAAAATCAATGACCCCCGGGGCGGGGCCGATTTTGACCCCAGGACTATAATTTCAACAATCTTGGTAGAGGTCTACCAGACAATGCCGTATGCAAAATATCTAAGCTCTAGGCCTTTTGGTCCCTACAAGAAGATTTCTTTAATTTATTCTATCATTCCTTTTGGTTGCCATGGCAACCAGATTTCTTCATGGAATGAAATTCTTTGAACAACTTTGGAAGCCCTTCACCCAAGGATCAATCCTGCCAAGTTTGGTTGAAATTTGACAATTGGTTTTTACAAGAAGATTTTTTAAGTTCACTGTATAATCTATATAACACACACACACAAACAAACAAACACACACACATACACACACAGGTGAATCGCTATATGCCACCGCATCGCAGATGCTGTGGTGGCATAAAAAAATACCCACTCACTTTTTTATATAGTCATCCCTCTTCCTTTGGGATACTTGGGGGTCTCCGGCAGCTATAAAGAAAATAAATGAAAAAGGAAAAAAAGAAAAAATACCCCAAAGTACGACCCCCCGAAGGAAGAGGAACACTTCTTTTTTCCTTTTTCATTTATTTTCTATATAGCTGCCGGAGACCCTCAAGTACCCCAAAGGAAGAGGGATGACTATATAAAAAAGTGGGTGGAGTATTTTTTTATTTTTTTTTATTTATGTTTTTTTCATATTTATTTCAGAGATTGAAGAGGAAGACCCTCATGATAATAAACGTTTGAAGGCATATTCGGATGAGAATGAAACTGACCAGGAGGCTGAGTTGTCCGATGCAGAGTCGCTTATAGATGATGAGCCGAAGCCTCCGTGCACGTACATGTATCCATACATATACTCACCACCCAAGAGGAAAAGAGGGGCATTTAGTAACTTTTTAGATTCTTTGCCAAGTCATACCAAACGAAGACGAATAAAATGGAACAGTAGAAATATTACAGATAACGAAGAGGAGGAGACAGAGCAGAAGGGAAGATATATAATTGTAAGTTGTATTAATTCTTTTTCTCTCGTGTGAATTGTTCTACATTTTATGCTGTTTATGTATCGTCCTATATGTTTTCTATTGTTATATTTTCAGAGCGATGATGATAATTGTGAGGAGAAACAACAGAAAGGAAACACGAGAAGAAATCTGAGTGATAGTGAGGGTGATGACGATGAGGAGGAAAGTGTAAGGAAGAGGAGGATTAGAAGTAGTAGTAGTGAGCTCGGACATGAGGAGGAGATATTATATGCTACCAAGTTAATTGTAAGTTTTATATTATTCTGTTTAATTCATAATAAGGTACATAGTACTTACATTGTAAGTTAACTTTCAAAACATTGCGAAATGGATGTTTGGCAATATTTCGGACAGTCATGTTCTACTTTTTTATATTGAAGTATTGAATAACAGACATTGCATACAAGGTAAGCTTCTCTGTAACATATCTGACACATTTCCTTCCTGTCTTCATAACTTTCATGTTATTTGTATGCCTGTCAATAATAATTTTCAGATTGATGATGACGAAGATGAGATGAGGTTGAGTGAGGAAGAATTGAATCAGGGCATAGAATGTGATGAGGATCAATTGTTTGAGTGTGTTGGGTTAGCAGATTTATATGAGGCGGAGCAGAAGGGTAAGGAGGAGGAGGAAGAGGACGAGAAACCTGAGAAAGAAGAAAAGAAAAAGTGAGTTTGGACATTAATAAATAAAGTATATAACCACTGAAGAAACCAAACATAAATCCATTAAAATCGTGTTAAATAAAATGAAGGAAAGAGCGAAAAGCAAAGACATGAATACTTTTTATAACTGGATCCACTAACAACAAATATATGAGAGTGTTTACTCTTACTTTTAACCTTTAATTAATCATTTCAGTTTTTAAGAGGGCACTGTTTGTTTAGAGAAGTATATTTGAACACAAATATCTATGAATATATTACAACCTGTAGGTGTTCACTTCATGGCAGAAATGAATAATTATGCTCATCAACTTTGAAAAAATATTACAAACAGAGGAAAATGACTGACTATTTTAGATAACTCATTAGGACTGATTTAGGTCGAAAAAAGAAGACAGTCCTGTCCTACTTTTCATATTTTGAACAAAATATAGTGAACTTATGTGAACTGCCCTACTTTTCATATTTTGAACAAAATATAGTGAACTTATGGCTCAAACATATTTAACTGATTTTTATGATATTGTTAAAGACTATAATTATTTTTTATTAAATCTTTCAGACAATTAATCAATGTCAAAGTTGTAAAAAAAGTATATTCGTGGAAGTGAGAAGCATGATTGTTTTATTGTGAAATGTTATCACGAATGGATAAATCCCGACTGTCTGAGTTGTATTGAGAAAATGAAGAAACCAATTAAAAGAGTTGAAAGGAAAATAATCAGTGCTGAAGAGATAGAAGAGATAATGAAAAAAGAGATAGAAGCTGAAACGAGAAAGATAGAGGAGGATAGTAATTGGTAAGAAAGACGATCTGAATTTAAAAGAATGTTTTCGAATCGCATAAAATGTGCAACATCACAGTATATTCTGAGAAATACATGGAAGTTCATTTGAGGGGGAATAAACATAAGGCAAAGGAGGCTGAGTCGAATCGGGTGTCAGGAGATGTTAACTCTCCTGTCTCACGTTTCGATTCGAATCAGCCTCCTTCCAGACTTCCAGACTACCCCCCTCAAATGATATAAATGATGTTGCAAATGATGGCCGGAAGAAATGCGACAAGTACGTTTTACTATGC